TTTTAGGAAAATATATTTAGCCACAGGGATTCTCCTGATGGTGATGTTGTGGATTCTCCTGGTCAGGAGATTTTATTTCTTTACATTTCTATTCATGATAAGAATACTTAGTGCTACCTCAAATTTCAAATTTTGGGTTTTTTGCTCTTTGACTTAAATGTTTAACAATAGAATGAAAATCCTCAGTAACCTTATGGAGGAAATAGAGTACACGTTCATATGTTTTCATTTGCAAAAACCATTGTTTGTCAAAATAAGACAAGATTCTTATCTTTTATGCCAGCACAGAGCATGATCTTACATTGATACTTATTCTGACACTGGTAGGAAACATGATTTTTCAAGAGCTTTCAAAGTAAATTCTTCTCTTGTTGTCTGCATACACATTTCCATCTGTTCATGGCTGACATGGGAGGCGGTCCAACTTCCTTGAAGGTCAGTTGAAGCAAACTTTTGTTGCAAGGCAGTAAACACTTTCACTTAATAAAATTACTTATAGAATTATTGGATGAATGCATTTCAGGGCACTTCAACCAACAGCTCTCTTGGATGCGTTTAAAATTTCCTACTGAGAATGAGGCAGCTTTTCAGCACAGTCCTTAGCCATGTTTGTGAAAGCTCAAGCTTTGGAAAGCAAGGAAACCTAAGCTAATTAACGCAAGATATGAAACATGTTCAAGATTGGCCAGCATCACTGAATTTGACTCAAAACTAAAGCCTCCAAAGTACACTGTGAAATTGCAAGTAGGTTGTTTACTCCATGTGGACACCCTCTGGCTTGCTAACTTACTTTGTTGAACACTTCTGCTCATTAATCTCCCGGAAATGGATCCTGTTCCCAATTTCGACTCTCTTCATCCTGGTAGAAGCCTCATTATCTATTGCCTTGATCAGTCACCTGGCTGGATCTTCTGTTCCCATGGCTAACCCATTCTCTGACACTGCTGGTTCAAAATTCATCAGGGGTTATGAATTAAAATTTGCATTTCTTTGTATTTGATTTCTTTACATTAAAGTGAAAAGCCCTTTATAGCTGGCTCCATACTCTCTTCCACCTTCATCCCCTCCAAAATGTATATTGTTCTCAAGATAAACCTCTGGGATCTGGCAACAAAACTCTCACTTTTTCTCATTATGTTTCTGTTCCTGGCATTCCTCAGCCTGAAGTACTCTTCTCTCAACCTGTTAAATCCTACCTATTTTTCAGAATCAAACTAAAATGCTTCTGTACATCCTTCCATAGTCGCTGCAGCTGGAAGAGATTTCTCCCTCCTTTGAATTCACAGAACTTCATCATTTGCACCCCTCTAGTTACTGACACCTACCTTCTCTACCTTGTGTTATAATTGTTTAAGAGTATGTCTTAATTTACTTACTAGACCAGAGTTTCTTGTGGACAGAGTATACATGCCTGATTCACCTTGGAAGTCACCAAAGCATCTAGCCCAGCATCTGACACATAAGGCTCAAATTCAACATTTAATCACTCAAACCCATCTGTTTCCCCTCCAAATTTGTCCCTTCTCCTGTTCTTAAATGATTCCATTCTTTCTCCATATTCATAGCATCAAAATCACCCATCATACCAACCACCTTTTTATTAATTTTTCTTTTGCAATCCTGTGCATCCGTCTTTCCACTGCATTTCCACTTTACTGATATCTCCCTATTCAACTTTATGACCTGAACTTTGTCATAGTCTCCTAAGACATTTTGGCTTTCAGTAGCTCTATCTTCAAACCTATCTGATAAAAAAAAGCAACAGTTTAGGGCCTTCCTTTATGGTTCAGTAGTTAAGATTCCAGCTTCCAATGCTGGGGACTCGGCTTTAATTCCTGGGTGAGGAACTAAGATCCCACATGCCTCAGGGCAACGAAGCCTATGTGCCATGACTACTGAGACCATGCACCAGAGTGAGAGAGCCCCACATGCCACAAGGAAGAGTCCACGCACGAAAGCAAAGATCCTGCATGCCATAGCTGAGACGCCACACAGCTAAACAAACAGAAAGAGCACCATCTAAGTATGCCAGCACTACCGCCCCACACAAGCAACCTCCTTTTCTCAGAAACTTTAGACAGTTCCTGATGACCCTCCAGGCAGGTCTGAACACCTTAATCAGGCATCTGAGAGTCCTCCCTTGTCTCACCCTGACTTTTCTTTCTGGCTTTACATTCCTCCTTTCCTACACAGGATGCTTCTCTCTAACTAAACTGAGGATTCCTTTCCAGGGCCCCTCTTCCAACGCAGACTTTGTTGCTGCCTGGATTCCACTTTGGCCTCTTAAAATCCTAACTATTTTTAATCCTGAACCAAATTATGTGTCCTTTGTATTGGGCCTTTCCACATCCTTCCGGGCAGAAGTTCTCTCTGGATATGCCAGTTTGCCATCTAGCGATTTTTTTGTCTCCTTCTGCCTCTCAGAGCTCACTTTCTCCTTCTCTCAGGCTTTATCATCATCATAAAATTTCTCATAGAGATGACTCTGCCAGCCAGACAGCCCTTGATGAAATTTTATCACCATCTGTACTGACAAGTTAGACCTCTGGGACTATGATTATGTCACAATACGTCATTCTATTACAGTGCTTCAATAATTACTTATGTTTCATATCTTGTTCACTACACCATAGATCTTTGGAGTTTGCAACCATGCAATGGGAATTTTCCATCAGAGGAAGCACAATGCAGTGGTGAAGATCCTTCATGGTTTTTGGACCCAGATTAGTTGGGTTCAAAACCCAATTCAGTTCAATCACTCAGTTGTGTCCAGCTCTTTGTGACCCATGGACTGCAGCATGCCAGGCTTCCCTGTCCATCACCAACTCCTGAAGCTTGCTCAAACACCTGTCCATCGAGTTGGTATGCCATCCAACCACCTCATCCTCTGTCGTCCCTTACTCCCCCTGCCTTCAATCTTTCCCAGCATCAGTGCCTTTTCCAGGGAGTCAGTTCTTTGCGTCAGGTGGCCGAAGTATTGGAGTTTCAACTTGAGCATCAGTCTTTCCAATGAATATTCAGGACTGATTTCCTTTAGAATTGACTGGTTGGATTTCTTGCTGTCCAAGGGACACTCAGGAGTCTTCAACACCACAGTTCAAAAGCATCAATTCTTTGGTGCTCAGCTTTCTGTATAGTCCAGTTCTCATAACCATACATGACTACTGGAAAAACCATAGCCTTGACTAGACAGACCTTTGTTGGCAAAGTAATGTCTCTGCTTTTTAATATGCTGTCTAGGTTGGTCATAACTTTCCTTTCAAGGAGTCTTTTAATTTCATGACTGTAGTCACCATCTGCAGTGATTTTGGAGACCAAGAAAATAATATCTGTCACTGTTTCCATTGTTTCCCCATCTATTTGCCATGAAGTGATGGGACTGGATGGCATGATCTTAGTTTTCTGAATGTTGAGTTTTAAGTCAACTTTTTCACTCTCCTCTTTCACTTTCATCAAGAGACTCTAGTTCTTCCTCACTTTCTGCCATAAGAGTGGTGTCATCTGTGTATCTGAGGTTATCGATATTTCTCCCGGCAATCTTGATTCCAGCTTCTGCTTTCTCCAGCCCAGCATTTCGCATGATGTACTCTGCATATAACTTAAATAAGCAGGGTGCCAGATCCCAACTCCAACACTTCACAATGATGTTACAAGGTACGACAATGTGACTTAGAAAAGTCACTTAAGTTCTCTGTGTCCCAGTTTCCTCTTCTGAAAGATTTGGATAATAACAGAACTTAACTAAAAGGGTTGTGAGGACTAAAGGGGTAGAAAATGCAAGACAAATGGGCAATATATGGAATACAGAAAGCACTTAATATATATTAACTATTATTAGAAATAGTACTATTTTTCATATTTGAAATCGTATTAGAAGAGATTTCCTAATGGGGGCCATGCATTTGTGAAGCTTTTGAAAAAGAAACTTTCCTGGGACCCACCCTAGCCCTACTAAATAAGAATTTCTTGAAATGCAGATTGGAGGAAACCAAGGACACATGAGAACTAAATACAATGTAGGATCCTGAACCAGAAAAAGACATTCATTGGTCAATTTTCAAAATTTAAATAAGGTTTGTAGGTAGATTAATAATGTCATGTCCATGTTAGTTTCCTAGTTTCAATAAGTGTGCTAAGGAGACTCATTTGGGAAAAACTGAATTAAGAATATACAGAAACTCTATCTATTATCTTTGTAGTCTTTTTGTAAGTCTGAAGTTAATTCAAAATAAAAAATTTTTTAACTTTTCCAAGGTTGGGGCATGTGTGTTATCGAAAGGATCCGTTGGTGGGTGATTTGATACACACACTTGCTAACAGCTGCCTAGAGCACAACTCTGCCTGCTCCAAAAGATGAATCAAATGATTCATTCCATGTGCCTTGGATGATTGTTCAGTGTTTTGCAGCCCCTCGGTGATCTCCCCAGTGAAACTCCAAGCACCCAATAAACAGGGCCATTTAACTCTTTTGCTGCCCCCAGAGGACCCAGCTTAACACACTGTAGATTCAACAGTAGATAGCATTTGTTTAATTGAATTTAATCAGCACTTCCTTCTATGGATTCCCAAAAGAATTTTTAGTAACTTTCCTAGGAATACGGACCTCTTTCCCAAGAAATGATGCTTCTTTAAATTCATTACTGGACCTCAGAATACAGATGAACATTTTCGGATTCATATTGCCTTCTGAAATTTATGTATCTTACCTATAGAGAGTTCTGGAAGGAAACTGAAATGTAAAAGGTTCATGTAAGTCTTTGCAATCTCAATGGAAACAGGAAGTATTCCTTTAGAAAAACTGTGGACTTAATATCCCAGGGGGAATGCAGAGGGGTTGGGTTCAATCCCTTGTCAGGAAACTAGATCCCACATGCCACAACTAAGAGTTCTCATGCTGAAATTAAGACCCAGCATAGCCAAATAAATAAATATATTTTTTAAACTATCGTAGGAGCCCATCAGAGACAACTAGCAGCAGAGTGACACTTCTGATTTCATACCTGCAGCTGTCAAGTAATCCCAAAGCCCACCAGGCTCATGTTTGGTTGGTCTAGAGTTGTCCATGCCTGAAAGGAGGCATTTAGAATTGATAGGGAACCGGAAATGGCAACCCACTCCAGTATTTTTGCCTGGAAAATTCCATGGACAGAAGATTCTGTGGGCTATAGTCTATGGAGTCGCAAAGAGTTGGGCACAACTAAAGTGACTTAGCACAGCACAGTGAAACTAATTGTATTCACACTACTCTATAGAGTTCAAAAGTCACTGGTACAGCATCCCTGATAAAGAATGACCCCATTCCAGCTCCAACACGCTCAGCTCTGGGAACTCTTTATTTTCCAAAGTAAGCCAGTCCCTTTCTAGTTTAGCTTTACTATGTCATCAGTCCTATGTGGCATCAATATCAGCCACTTACAGCCACATGGTTCTGTTCTTTGGCATTAAAATTTATAGAACATTTACTGTGCTTTAAGATCTTGATGGGAATTGAGAATACAAAGGTATATGGCACACATCTGAGATCTCTAAGTGTTACCATCACAAGGTCTGTCCATTTGGAGTAGTAAAACTATATAGAAAAGTTTGGTGTGACCCAAAGTACTTTTTTGAAAATGGACATTGTGTGGCACTCTGCCTTTTCTTCCCCAGATTAACACACACATGAACTTGACAGGTCTGATTTTTCAATATTTCCCATGCCTCTAGAATAAAATCCTGACTTCTTACAAACTTTAGCTTAATAACCTGAGTCTCCAGCCTCAGCTCGACCCTCTCTCCACTGTTACAAATGCTCTAGTACCCCAGTCTTCCTTGCTGGCCACATTCCCATCCCAGGGCCTCTGTGTTTGCTGTTTTCCCTGGCCAGAATTTTCTTAGCCACACCTTCACAGGCCAGTCTCTTTCTAATTCTTCAAGTCTCAGTTCAGAAGCTGTTACTTCCAAGAGGTTTTTCAAGAAAATTCTAAAATACTCCCCAAAATCTTACACACCCTTCCTCATTACTCTCACTGCAGCATAACTTATGAAATCATCTGTTGATAGACTTTTCAACATACAGGCCATTGTTAGATTTAGTATTTTATGTTTCCCCAACTTGAATGAAATTTCCACAAGGTCAGGGCCACACCTATGTTACTCCCACTGCATCCTTCTACCCAATTGGAAAGTGCTCAATAGTATAATTAATGAACCAGACACCCCTTGATCCAGATAATTCTTTCAGAGCAATCTCAATAAGTCAAAGGTTCTCCTGAAAACATCCAGTGCACACACTAAGACTGAACATGATAGAAGAAAGTGGAAGCCGTCTCCAACATAATGAAGATGCCTAAAGCTTAAGTCCACCAAAGCTGGACTGCAGCCTCCTGACACATTCCCACACTCAGCACACAGCCAGGGCAGCTCAGGGTCTCACTAGATTTGTTGCCTCATCACCCAAAAGGATGGGCTTCCCTGATGGCCCAGCAGTAAAGACTCCGCCTGCCAACGAGGGAGACTCAAGAGATGTGGATTCGATCCTGGGGCCAGGAAGATCCCCTGGAGAAGGGCATGGCAATCCACTCCAGTATTCTTGCCTGGGAAATCCCATGGACAGAGGAGTCTTGTGCGCTACAGTCCATGGGGTCGCAAAGAGTCAGGCATGACTGAATGACTAAGCAACAACAATATCCAGCAAAAAAAAAAAGTGCCACTATCTACCAGCAGTGCCTGCTTTCATCCACCGCCTGCCAGCTTTCTGGTAATCACTTCTCCACCTTGAGCTCTCATCATCTCATTACAACCATACCTTTAACTCAGGTTTCAAAGCTCTCTCCAGCCCTGTATTTGGGAATACTACTCACTCAAATAAAAAGGCAACAAAATAGAGCCCATTTTTTATGGTGGAACAACCTCTCCCAGACCTGTAAAGTGTGAAAAGAGAAGTTGTGTTTCTTCCTCATATTTCAGAAAATGGTCCCACCGAATCCCAAGTCTTGACAGTGCAAGGGAGCAGCCTTCATTCTGAGTTAATAAAGACTCCGAGTGTTGACTAAGAAGATCTGCTCCTGTGAGTAATGAGATAAAGCCAGTCAATCCTAAAAAAATCAACCCTGAATATTTATTGGAAGGACTGATGTTGAAGCTGAAGGTCCAATACTTTGGCCATCTGATGTGAAGAACCTACCCATTGGAAAAGACCCTGATGCTGGGGAAGATTGAGGGCAGGAGAAGAGGGTGACAGAGGATGAGATGGTTAGATAGCATCAGCGACTCAATGGACATGAGTTTGAGCAAACTCTGGGAGATGGTGATGGACAGGGAAGCCTGGCGTGCTGCAGTCCATGGGGTCACAAAGAACTGGACACGACTCGGCAATTGAAAAACAAATAAGGTTGTTAAAATTGTGAGTTCACATTTTGGCATTCAACCTAGAAATGTAATTGGGATGCCCAGAGCCTGTGAGCCCCACCAGCTGGCTATTATGAGTCATGTCACAACTGTGGAGGTTGTAAGACATGTCTGCAAGTCCTTTGGCCTGCTTGCCATCAAAACATGGGGTCTTGGGCCCCTTCCCTTGAGTCTGAGTCTTGTAACTGACTTGACAAACAGAATGCAGCAAAGTGACACTGTCACTTCTGACACAAGTTCAGAAAAGGCCCCTCAGCTTCTGCTGATCTTTCCCGGGAGCCTCAACCCAATGGGACTTCCCAGGTGGCACTGATGGTAAAGAACCTGCCTATCAATGCAGAAGACATAAGAGACATGGGTTTGATCCCTGGGTTGGGAAGACTCTCTGGAGAAGGGCATGGCAACCTAATCCAGTATTCTTGCCTGGAGAAACTCCATGGACATATAAGAAGGTTCAGCTCTTCTGAGGCCAACATGTGAGGAGGACACAGTGAGAGACTAGAGAGAAAGATATTGATTCCCAAGGAGCTCCCATTATTTGGATCCCAGCTGGTTAAATCCTAGCCTAGCACCAGAATGAGGATGCCACCAGATAACTGCAACCAAAAGCAAACCCCTGAGCAAACTCTGCAGAGCTGAGCCCAACCAAACCCCAGTCACAGGAACAAAATAAATGATGATCAATATTTTAAACCACTGTTTTGTGGTAGTTTGTTGAGCAGATAGCAGACACCAGCTCTTTCTAAAGGTACTTGGTTGATGTAAAGTATTGCAAGGACTATATCCTAATACTATCTCAAATATGGCTACAGCTCCTACCCAGCTGATAATTAACATAATAATGGCTGCCATATGTTGTGCTCCTTCTGTGAAGGCAGACACTTACTTAAGTGCTTTCTATACATTACTTACTTGTGTTAAAGACAACAGGCCCAAAATGTAGTTCCTAATGGTTCAGATGGTAAAGAATCTGCCTGCAATGCAGGAGACACAGGGTTTGATCCCTGGGTGGGGAAGATCCCCTGGAGGAGGGAATAGCTACCCACTCCAGTATTCTTGTCTGGGAAATCCCGTGGACAGAAGAGCCTGGCTGGCCACAGTCCATGGGGTCACAAAGAGTTGGACATGACCGAGTAATTAACACTTTCACTTCTTTCATACTAAGCTTCATGACACCAAAGCAAGACTTAAGAATTCATTTAATTACACTTTCAGCTCTCCCAGGAATGAAATCTTAAACTAACCAATCAGAATGGTTAGCATTATGTGGTCAGCATTAGTGAGGTCATCTGCCTGATATACCCCTGCTGTCCCCAGGGGAAAGTAACCTTGTCACAATCAAACCACCTTTTGCTGGTATAACTTTCTTGTCTGGCTCCCCTCTGCCTGTAAGTCTTCCTTAGGTCCAGCTCCTCACAGCTCCTATCTGAGAGATAGGATGCTGCTGTCTGATACATAAAACCTGGAATAAAATCGATCAGATCTTTAAAATTCACTCAGTTGAATTTTGTTTTTTTAACACCTGAATCCTCACAAAACTTCTATGTGGTAGATAATATTACCCCCATCTTACTAGTAAGGTAGCTGAGGTTTTAAGACATTAAATGACTTCTGCAGTGTTGTTCATTTAGCAGGCATTTGTTGAGGGCCTCCGTGTTCTGTATCTAGAACTGAGAAAAATGAGATCAAGCAGACATGTACCCACTTCATGGAACTTACTGGCTGGTGGGACAGACAGATACTAAGTCAGGTTCACACTAATTAATGCTTTGATAAGATCAAGGAGAGGTATGTTACTATGAGAGCATATAACATGGAGATCATCTGGGGAGTCAAAAAAATCTTTCCCAGGAAGAAGTCCTGAGCTATAGGGTAAAAACTGGTGGTAGGAGAGTCAGAGTACATTTGAGAAGCTAAGAAAGGCTCAGAGAGGAAGCCAGGGTGAGAATTCTCAGAAGAGAAGGGCACATTAAGGATTTGGGTCCTAATTATAAGGCCCCCAGGAAGCTATGGAAAAGTTTTAAGTACAGTGTAATTTCTGTTTCAGAATTTACAATCTCATATAAATCTAAATCTTACCAGGGAACTGTTGATTAGAGCTTGTCTGAATAACATTAACAATACTTGTATAAGTAATATTTTTATATTTGTAGGTCATGAGAGGGCTTCCCAGGTGACTCAGAGGTAAAGAATCCACCAGTCAAAGCAGAAGACACCATAGACAGGGATTCGATCCTGTTATGGAAAGGTTTGGGGTCTGGCTGCTTGCCGCCCAAAAGCCAATAAACAGGCAAGGTTGATGAAACGGAAAGCTTGCTTTATTTCAGATGTCATCAACTGGGGCTAGGGGACTGGACATCTGTCAAAAAGTTGACTCCCACCCCCAACCCCGGCAGCCAATGGGGCAAGAGCTTTAGTAGACAGAAGGAGGGGCCACATGCAGAAACAGCACAGTCAGCTCTGATAGTCATCTTCAAATTGGTCATTGGTGATCTGACCAGCATCATCTTGATTGTTTTAGGTACAGTTAATCTTCAGTTCCAGGGTAAGTTTGTTTGTTTCTTTGAGGCTAATTCTTGGAACTGTGGCAGCTTATGTCATGGGTACAGTCATGCAGTTAACTTCTTCCACCTGGGATTTCAGTACCTATAAGACAGCTCATAGGATATGGCTCAGAATATTATCTATAACTCTTGA